ATTCTCCCTGGCACTCGCCAAGTGCCATCATATTGTAGTATTCTTGATTCGTATACGCTGCCATTTTGACCTGCTGACGCTTCTAATAATCGAAGGATTATTGATTGCAGCATCGATCGCGTTATCCTATTTATACGATCTCCGCGGGGGTCGGGACCCCCCACCGCGTCCCCCGCGACGAATCGAAGCGTCGCGGGACGTGTCGAGACGTGTTGCGACATGTCGCGGGTTGCCCGCGACGCTTCGATTCGTCGCGGGGGACGCGGTGGGGGGTCCCGACCCCCGCGGAGATCGTATAAATAGGATAACGCGATCGATGCTGCAATCAATAATCCTTCGATTATTAGAAGCGTCAGCAGGTCAAAATGGTATACGAATCAAGAATACTACAATATGATGGCACTTGGCGAGTGCCAGGGAGAATACCACGTAGCTGTTAGACGATATGCCGAATTGTACCCAAATCGGGAAAAACATCCATCGGCTCCCGTCATACTTCGAGCATCTCAACGCTTATACGAAACCGGAAGTGTCCTTCCGAATAAGCACGATACCGGAAGAGATCGCGTGGCCAGAAATTTGCGGAATACAGAAGCAGTTGTACGTGATTTCGAGCAAAATCCTGAAACAAGTATTCGGATTGTTGCTCGAGAACACGACTTATCTTATGCAACTGTGCAGAGGATATTAAAAGAAGAAAAGTTGCACGCATTTCATTATACACGCGTGCAACATTTGCGACCAGAAGATTATCCTGCAAGAAGAGCATTTTGCGAAAATTTTCTGAGAAGAGCAGATCGAAATCTCAGTTTCCCTTCTCATGTGATATTCAGCGATGAATCGCTATTTACACGAGAAGGAATTTTTAATTCGCATAACATGCACTTGTGGAGCGACGAAAATCCCAGAGCCACGCGACTCAGAAGTTTTCAGGTTCGCTGGAAGATAAATCTGTGGGCTGGAATTATGGGAAATAAAATACTAGGACCAGTTGTTCTTGCGGATATCTTAACTGGGCAAACCTACATGGAAATGTTAAGAGAAAATCTACCCGATTTCTTAGAAGAAGTGCCGTTATTGGACAGAAACAAGATTGTCTTTCAACAAGACGGTGCTGGGCCACACAACGCCAGGATTGTTACAAATTATTTAAATGAGCAATTTCCTGGCCGCTGGATGGGACGATACGGCCCAATACGTTGGCCCGCTAGATCCCCGGATCTAAATCCTTTAGATTTTTTTCTATGGGGATATTGTAAAGAAGTTATTTACAAAACGCTTCCCGAGAACGTCGACGACTTAAATGAAAAATTGCACCACGCTATTTGGGACATTGAAGAAAATGTACTGGAGAACGTCCAAACAAATTTATTAAAACGCATGAGAGCTTGCGTTAGAATGAACGGTGGTCATTTTGAACACTTACTGTAAAATCTTCCAATTTTAAATTAATCCGCTCTTTTTAGGGCGACCAAAAACAATCCGCTCTTTTCAGAGCGACCAACACACTTCTACATGGAACATTTCTTGTACTTGCAAAAACGTAAGGAAAAACCAAAGGCGAGATTAAAACGCTTCAAATATTTAAATGTTATACGACGTACAATGTTATACGTCGTTTAACATTTAATACATTGTATAACGTTTTACGTTTCATATTTTCGTAACTGCCGCATCTTCAATGCTGAGGCTTCAGCCAATTACGTGGTAGCGCCTCGCGCGCCAGTCACGCACAGTCACTTTCGCTTTCGATAGCGCTAGTACCAACATAACCCTAGAATCCTAGATTATCTACATAACCCTATCAGCTGTTTGTTGCTGTCGAGCAGAGTCTCCGTATCGAGTAACGTGTACTGTAACGCGTTTCTTCCTTTAAAGTGATTTTAAGTTGCCGAATGAGTAATGGATAGTGATTAATAGTAATAATATTGATTTGTAATAATACGGAAAAATTTCAGTGCGTAACTTTTATCGATCAAGTGCGTGAGTAAATCCGTGT